GTTCCTGGTTACCTTTCACCACAAGCCCTTCACCTTGTGAAGCCTCATCACTGGCTTTCTTCCGCTGATGAAAACCTAACAGAGCACCTGTGACATCCTCCAATTCGAGGGTTTCTTTCCCCCACATCAGAGTCGTAACCAAATTCTCGTACGTAGGAGACGTCGGTAAGGAATTCAGCAACATCAGCGCCTTGTCTTCGTCTTCGAACTTCACATCAACTCGCTTCAGATCGCTGATGATCTGATTGAACACGTTGATGTGTTGGGTCAAATCCGAGCCCTCTGACATCTTAAGACCATATAGTTTCTGCTTAAGATAGAGCTTGTTCGTCAACGACTTGGACATATACCGACTTTCCAGTTTCAACCAAACTTCCGCCGGTGATTCCTCATCTATGACGTGATACATCACTTCATCAGCCAGACAAAGCCTAATAGTCGCCACAGCCTTCGCTTCCAATTCTTTTCAATCCATGTCGTCCATTCCTGCCGGTTGTTTTCCGTATAATGCCTTCACCATGCCCTGCTGCACTAACAGGTCTTTCACCCTCCTCTGCCATAATCTGAAATTCCCAGTTCCGTCGAACTTCATGATGTCGAATTTTGTAGAGGAAATCCCAGACATCGTAGTCTTGCTTTGATACCAATTGTTGTGATCGTGCAGCAATTATGGTGAATAGTAAGGAATCAAACAATTAAGAAAGCAGGAGAAAATAACACACAGAGATTTACGTGGTTCGGTAATGTGTCTACATCCACGAGAGCGAGCGGCTGTTCTTTTCCTTATTGAAGTAGGGTTACATCTTAAGTATTTATATAACCCTAATATGGACGTATTTACAAAAATACCCCTGTACCGTACCGCGGGGTCGTTGCCCCCGCACCCCCAACTTATCAGCATCCCCTATATATAAATCCCGCAAGGCAGATGTCGTCTCCGCCCGCTCCACTCCGGCATCTGCCTCCTTGCCATTATGCACATAGCAAATATATGAGCCACACATACTCTAACAACACAGATGGTGAACTCTTGCTTGATCCTTCACTTTATCGTCGATTGGTTGGTCGTTTGATATATTTGATTGTTACCTGGCCTGATATTGGTTATGTTGTTAATATTTTGAATCAATTTTTGCATCAACCTCATAAAACACATATGGATGCTGCCAATCGCCTATTACTTTATTTAAAGGGGACACTAGGGCAAGGAATTCTTTTGTCCACTAATTCCTCTATCCAATTGCAAACTTAGTGTGATTCAGATTGGGAAAGTTGCCCTATGACTCGCAGATCTACCACAGGCTATTGCATATTTCTTAGTTCTAGTCCTATATCATGGAAAACAAAAAAACAACATATGGTTTCATGCTCCTCAGCTAAAGCAGAATATCGAGCCATGGCAATGGCCACCTGTGAACTCACATGGCTCACATCCTTATTGTGTGATTTCAGTGTACATCAATCTAAACCTATACCTCTTTTTTGCGATAATCAAGCGGCACTACATATTGCAGCCAACCCAGTCTTTTATGAGCGCACCAAACATAGAGAGATTGATTGTCACATTATGCGAGATAAAATTCAAAGTGGTTTGTTGCATACGTCCTATGTGTCCAGCTCCAATCAAATTGCAAATATCTTCACCAAATCATTGGGCTGAGATCAGTTTATGGCACTAAAGTCCAAGTTGGGCGTTCTTAATCCTCACACTCCAATTTGAGGGGGAGTATTAACATTATACTGGATTGATTCTCACATGATTTCTTCCTTAAATCTTGATGTATTGAATCTGTTTTAATTTACTGCATATATCTTGTTGTATGGGATTTATATCCCGTTAATTCCTCCTCTCAATCCCACTCATTATGGGACAATCATGTATATATACAACACATGTATTGTAATACAATCAATTCAATTTTCTTCCTTTTCAATTATGTTTCTTAATAACAATGTTGGAGATGCAAACAATGTCGGCTATAAATTGATTAAATTTTAACACAATACAATTTATACGATTTAAAAATGTAAGATGGCGACCCGTCACAAATGATGGATTTATCAAAGCAATAGTGTCAACTTACGGAGGGTTAGTGTTGAAGATGCAAATAATAGAGACTATAAATTGAATAAATTTTAACGCAATACAATCATACGATTTAAAAACGCACAATGACGACCAGATGGATGGATTAATGAAAGTATTTTATTTTGACTGCAAACGAATGGCGGCTTAGTGTGATTTCAGATCTTATCTTAGACTAAAATCCAAAGTGAGATGTTTTTTATATTTAAATATTAGTATTGATAATATTTACAAATGTCAGTGGAGCCCCATCATGTATTTTTAGCTAGCAAATTTTAGATTGTTCACGTGAGCTTTAAGATTTGATGGGGAAAGGAAACGTGACGGGTTTTAATATTGTAATACAGTCTGACGAAGCACTCCAATTACAATTTGTTTAGTTTTTTTAAGTATTAAATTTTGTAATCTATTAATTCCTACAATATTGTTGCTAACTTATAAAAAAAATGGGTAGTGAAGATCAGAATTGCGGGAGAAGGGGATAACCCGTGCGTCATATGTAATCGAAAGCTAGCGTGTGTGTATATATATATGTTGTGCCTTTGTAAAGTCTAGTTTGTGTGTTGATTCAGATGATGATCCGACCCAAAATAATGTTACGTGATTTTTAATAGAAAATTTTTCCGAGGCTTGGTCCATGGAGTGAAGACTTGAGCCAATTTTGTAGTCCGGTGCGTAAGACATATAAAAATCGCTACTTTTAAGGTTTTTGTTAGAACTGTATAGACGTCCTCTGTATTCCTCTCTTTTAATAGTGAAATTCCTGCAATTTCGTGAACGTAGGCAAATTTTTAAACCACGTAAAATCTGTGTGTCTTATTGTTTGTTGTTTTTTATTAGTTTATGTTTTTGGTTTACTCTTCGATTATATGTATTTATCTATGGGTTAAAGCGTAATAAATAACAATCAATATATATATATATATATATATATATATATGTTGATTAGTGAAGGAAAGGTCCTTTTTGACCACATTCATGTTTTTTTTTTGACACCTGACGTAATGCATGACATAATTGGAGCCACTTTCTGGACACCCCGAATGCCCACATTCACGGTGTCTTAGTCAATTTATGTGTATTTCGATTAATTTTTTATTAAATTCAGTTAAAAATAGATCATTCATATCGTGTCGTATCATGTCGAGTTCGGGTTAAAAATACATCAACCCAAATACGACTTGCGAGTTAAACATGTTAGGTCATTTGGACATGAACACGACCTGTGACTTGAAATTTACACAAGTCGGGTTCGAGTAAACACGACCCAACCGACACGACTAGGGATGTCAATGGACCGAAGCAGGGGAGGGGGGTCTAGTCTTCATCTCCGTATCCGCTTAAAAAATCTCCGTCCATCTCTGGTCCACTCCCGTTAACGAGTATTATTTTCATCCCAATCTCCATCCCCATCTCCGTTCACGGGTAAATTTTTAATCCCCGTCCCCATCCCCGCTTCCCCTGTACCCGCCCAAGCCCAAGTCCAACTTCAAGTCAACATAATCCAAAATTCTAAATAAATTCAATATTTTAAATAATCCAATAACATCTAAATAATTTAACACAACATAATGTAGCATAACATATTCCAACACAACACAAACAACAAATATCTAAAAAACTAGAGGTCTACTACAGCCACTCACAAAAACCTTAGGCTAGCAAAAAATTAAGTCTTTTGGGTAACAAAGTGCTTGTGAAAGAGATCTCATAGCTATTATCTTGTCACAAAGGCAGCCTCTTAGGAGCCAATAATCCTGTCACAAAGGCTGCCTTCTAGGAGCCAAACAGATTCATATATGAAATGTGGTTCAAACTCATAGTTATTGTTCTAGTGCTCTTTCAATTCTCCCAAGGCTCCAAAATCATTGTTTCCCCTATATTGCAACCACTAATATCACAGCCATTGACGCATTAAGTATTGAATTACTCGTGCTACTCACAAAAATAGGTAGGAAAACAGGATTATATAAAAAAGTGATATTTGAAATGCCACATAACAACATTTTTAGTTAACTCTAGTACGTACACTCTTGCTTGATACATGTGGAGGAGGAGAAAAGAGGAATATGGAAGAACATAGAATAAAAGGGATATACTTGCATGAAAAAATAACATAGAACAAAAGTGATATTTGAAATGGCACATAACAACATTTTTAGTTAACTCCAGTACATACACTTTTGCTTGATACATGTGGAAGAGGAGAAAAGAGGAATATGGAAGAACATAGAACAAAAGGGATATATATATATATATAACAGATAACGGGGATAGGAACAAGGCAGGGGTAAGGGTAAGTCTATTCCCGCCATCATTCCTGTACGGGTATTTTTGTATACGTTCACCGTCCAATACGTATAGTCTATCCCCGATCCAAACGGGACGAATTTGGATTAATACCCATTTTTTTCCAGTCCACTGCCATCCCTAGACCCAACCCGACATGACCTAACAAAAAAAAGAAAAATTTAGACCTATTTTACATAAAACAAAGACATTAAAAACATCTCAAATATTCCAAAACAAATACAAATTTCCACTTACATAAAACAAAGGCATTAAAAATATCATAAATATCCCAAAACAAATATAAATCTCCACACATCATTATATAGTGGTGGGTCAATTCGGGTCAAAACAGATCAGGCATGTTCGTGTCAACCTGATTAAATACACGGGTCAATTGAGTCAATTTATGTTAAATGGGTCAAACTCAAACACAACTCATTAACATTTCGTGTTGACAAGTCATATCATATGGATTTTTACCAAAAAATAATCAACTCAAACTCATTTATTTGTGTTATGTTTATATCAAATTATCGTATCGTATCAAAAATTGCCAACCTTAGGTGACGAAATCTGCTATAAATATCCGCGACAAGAAGGCATAAACTCACACTTTGTACTAATGGCGAAACCAGCCCCTCTCCCTCTTCAAGAACAAAACCCTCGTAAAAATACCACACCACGAGCTGTGGAAATCATCATTTTCTTTCTTCTCCTCTCACTCCTTGTTTATCGTCACCTCCATCTCAGAGACCATGGCTGGGCTTGGGTTCTTGCGTTTTGCTGCGAGTCATGGTTCACTTTCATCTGGATTCTTACAATGAACAACAAATGGAATCAAATATATATCAAAACATACCCAGAACGCCTCTTGCAGTGGTATCAGAAAACTTCTCTCTCTCTCTCTCTCTCTCTCTCCACTTTGCAACCCTTATCTAAGCTTGTTACTTGTTTACCATATGTATTGCATCTAGGGGTTCAAATGAATGAAGTAAAAATATTCAGGAACTGCTCGGGATTACGATGACTTGGCTCTTTGAATTTTTTCTCCAAGTTCGAGCACCACTTAGCTTACCTTTTCTAATTAAACTCACCAAGCTTCTGACTTGTGTTCTAGCTTAAACTCAAGTATAAATATGTTCACCAGCTGAAAAGTCCGGATCCTCTACTCTACTTTGTTTTTCAAAATGACATCGTTTTACATTAAAACGATGTTGTTTTATTTAATAAAATGATATCGTTTTATTGTGAAACGACGTAATTTTGAGGAACAGTATCCCTACTATTAAAAAACTAACAATAGTAAAGGATTCGGATCCCTAGCCGAACAAATCATTATTTAAGCTCAATTCGCTTATTAAAACAACTTTAAAATTGAGATTAAGCTTGAGGTCAAGCTTGATTTTTTTATTATATGAACAACCATTAATAAGTTGTATACTCTGATTCAAGTCCGATCTTAGTTCAATTCATTTGTAAGAAAACATTCATGAATTTAACAATTCGTATGGTCCTTTTTCTTTGTTCTTATTCCAACTAGGAAACCTGCTCATGAGCTTCCCCCGGTGGACATGTTCGTTACCACGGCCGATGCCGACCTAGAACCGCCGATTATCACTGTGAACACTGTACTCTCCTTGTTAGCCGTCGATTACCCAGCCAACAAGCTAGCTTGCTACGTATCCGACGATGGTTGTTCTCCTCTCACCTTCTTCGCTCTCATTGAAGCATCTAAGTTTGCTAAGATTTGGGTTCCATTTTGTAAGAAGCATAACATTCCTGTTAGAGCTCCATTTCGATACTTTAATGGTGAGCCCTTATCGTCGTCCAAAGACAGTTCATTGGAGTTCCAACAAGAGTGGAAAAAGATTAAGGTAATCAATTCCCTTTGTGGACATAATTGGCAGGCGTTACATTGTAGAAAGTAGAGGGTTATGCATGAAACAAGTTAGAGTGCGTTTAATACAGCACATAGTGTCATGTGACGTGCACACCTGATAAAAGACGGTGTAACTTAAGTATTTATACATTCTCACGTACAATAATTAGGGTGACGATAAGATTTGAATACATGACTTCTTATTCTACCAAGTTAAACCGTTAAAGATGAGTTTAACTTAAGTATTTATATTTTAACAAATTTGACGTATTCCGTATGGAAACGATTGTTTTCATCTTTTTTGTAGGATGAATACGAACTGCTTTGCCAAAAGATTGAAGAAGCAACGCAAAGATCTGAGCCATGGGACTTTACAGGGGAATTTGCAGCATTTTCACATGTAGAGCGCAGGAACCATCCTACTATAATAAAGGTAATCCATTATTTACTAGACACATATTTACATTAACTGAATCCGATATTTTATATTTCACTGATTTAAATTTGGATATACTTGTATCCGATCTAAATTATTTATATGTTTTTATATAAATATTAAAAAAGTTTCGTAATTATTAATGAAATTTAGGTATAATTCGTTAAAATTTAGTTAATTAAATTATTCGGATTAGATCAAATTTTTGGAATGTTAATGGATTCGGATATGAACCATGAAAATATAATTTGTCAAATTACCAATCCGTTAAAATCCGATCTGTTGACGGGCCATCATCTACCCCTTTGACGATAATCAAAAGAGTAAAAGAAAAAAAAATAATAAATAAATAAATAATAAAAAATAAAATAAAATGATATGATGACATTATAGTTTAACATAAAATATTAGCCTTAAAATGACACAATGATAAAGCAAGATTTATGTTGTTGACCTCAAAAATATTAGAACAAGATTTTGTTGAGTTGAGGTCGGATAGAATCTAATTATTTTTCCAATAAGATTGAAATGGGAAATGGTATTCTAGGAAGTAGGAACACACCTGGACAAGAATATAAGTACATAAATTGAAACACTCATTGATTGTCGTTTACATTTTGTTTTTAATTTTTGGATGTCACTTTCTGGAAAATATGGTGAATCATAATAATATTAATAAATGGATTTCAGCTACACAAAAGTCAAATAAGTACAAGAAAAAAATTTCAATAATTAAAGTTTAATTTACTTGTCTGAATTGCTGAGCTATGTAATAAAAATAAGTTAAAAATTCAGACGTCCAAAATTTGAATTTTGACAATTTTTTGAAATCAGACCATGAAGAATTTATTTTTCACGAATTCTCTAATCCCGGCGTGCCGGAATGACCTACGGACCGAGGAGGACATTAGTCGAAATATGTATAAATTAGTCTGGACACCTTTGACTTTTGAATCAAAAAAAAAAAAGAATTGCTGAGCTATATTCTAACTATTTCAAATTAAAACAAAGTAATATGGGAATTAGGACAAATCTTATGATAAACTATTGAGCTTAGTGAAGAAAGAGATCATCGGTCAGAATAAGATGCCGTACCCAATTGGGAAAAAAAGAGGAAGAAGAAAGAGACATCTCCGATTTAATTTTAGAAATTAGTTTTTTTTTTTAAATAAAAATTGAATTGCCTGTCACTTATTTCTCTTAAACATCATAATAAATGATAATCTTGTACATTAAATACAAATTTGTTTTCATACGTTATTCAAACTTAACAACCCGTTTAATATTATTTATTCTAATTTATTGTGGACTTATTTGAAATAATGTTTTTTTTAGGTTATATTGGAGAACAAGGAAGATCTTCCCAATGGTTTGCCTCATCTGGTCTACATCTCCAGAGAGAAGCTTCCAAAGCATCCACATCATTTCAAAGCTGGTGCCATGAATGTTCTGGTCAGAGATTCCTATATCACAGAAAATAAAGTCTAATTAACCCAGAATATTTTATTCTCTATGCATGGAAATACTATAAATGTTATAGTTGATTTTTTCACACTATAAAAAAGTTATAATTAAACTGATCGGGTTATGACTTAAACAGAAGTTGAGAACAATTTGACTTTACTGAACCGAACCTTGTTGAGTTGTAGTAATGATCTGTTTGAGTCATAACTTGAGATCCGAATACAAGATTAAATATGGTATTGTGGAGTCAACCTCGTCCCTAATAAATTAATTTTATGATTGTTTGCGCTTGTGAACAGATCAGAGTGTCCGGAGTGATGACAAATGCTCCTTTCATGCTGAATGTAGACTGCGATATGTATGCCAACAATCCCAAGATTGTTCTTCATGCAATGTGCATGCTGCTTGGTGTCAAGAATGAAATGGACAGTGGCTTTGTTCAATATCCACAATGCTTCTATGATGGACTCAAGGATGACCCATTTGGAAATCAGTTCGTGGTTTTACTTAAAGTGAGTGAAATTTAGTAACCTTTTCGTTTTAATTCTATTCTCAAATACATTACCTGGTTTACGTTAAAATTATTTTATATACCTTTTTCTTTTTTTATAAAAATTACGATTTTCACCTTAAAAATTTTGGATAGTGTAGCTAGCGAGTTCAGAGAATAAAAGGCACAATAGTACTCTTCATCTTTTTTATTTTTCTAATTTTTTATCTCTAACATTTTGATTTACTGATTGAAACGAATACTTAATGGACGAAAGAGAGAAGAGAGACGATCATTGGAGTATTTTAGAGAGAGAACAAAAAAAAAATTGTATTAAAGTATAAAAGTTAGTGTAACTATAAAATTGTGAAAAAAATTGTAAGGGGGTAAAAAGTATTCCTTGGTTAAAGTCCAAGGGATAAAATGTAATTTAACCTTCACTCTATAAATTAATTTTGTGATTAATTTCACCTTTATCCTTGAAGTTTCATTTTCTGCTTCTTCCATTCTAATTTTCATTTAGCAACTTTGCCCTCTAACTTTTGGCTTAATATCAGTTCAGTCCAACTGATACTAGTAGTTAATAATGTGGAAACTTTCTGTTTGATTAACTTATTAAACCACCTTTTTTGTTGCGTCTAATCCAGTATATGGTGAGTGGAATTGCGGGGATTCAAGGACCTTTTTATTCAGGAACAGGGTGTTTTCACAGAAGAAAAGTTATATATGGTTTATCACCAAATAGAACTATAACCAACGGTATGTAAATCATTGTCAACTATGTGACCAAATTCTGAAAGTACTTTTTACGGTTTTTTCTCGTATATCATTCTGCTAGCTACCTAAATTTTCAAGCTAAAAATTGTTTGTTTTCCTTAATTTAGTTGTTAAACTAAAATTGTTTGTTTCAAATTTGTATATTAAACTTTTTTACTTTTTTTTCTCGTGTTTTTACGTGGTTTAAGTTGGATTCAAACTTGAACCAAAAACTTTAGTTCAAGCTAAAATTTGTTTGTTTCAAACTTTGTATATTAAACCTTTTTTTTTTTTCTCCAGTCGATGTGGAATAGCTTTTGTCCTCTCAAACATGTGGGTTCCTTCAATTGGTAGAAAAAAAAATATCATATTTTGGAAAGATCAATTCCCATACTCAATTATACAACAGAATATTTCAGATGATGAAC